CCACACACACACATTCAAACACACACAGTTACAAACACAGGGGATGCGGGACCTTGGAACGCCAGAGATCAGAAAGCCTCATCATGCGTCAGTAGATTGACAGTAGATAGTAGCTATTCCCACTTTAAATGAAAGCTGACAAAAGTGGCGAGCTCTCGACTTTAAATTATTGAGGCCATGTGTCGGCGACATGGCAGGCAGGCCGTCATCAGGCTTGAACAGCGCTTTGGCGCCTTTTGCCAATAAAGGGTAATCAAATGAGCCACTTTCAGGGTGGAGTACTGCTTCAGGACAAGATGAAAATTGGATTCAGGTACTGTTTCACAACCTCAAAGCACTTGAATAAGTTTCATGTTTTTGATGTAGCAGATCAATGCTTTTTACGCTGAAGGCCAACAAGGCTTTGTATGCCTGAATACACGATCCGTCTCTCTTTGATTGTGCAATTCAACACCCCTACTGTACACTCTCCAAGGATGAAATTTCCAGAGAAAGAACCTCTGGGTGTTGCATGTAAGTCAATTACATACTTCATACAAATTCATTCTGTTGTAAGGGGAAAGTGTGAGCTGAAAACCTCAAAGCTGGAATGTATTTATCCAAGGAGAGGATATGGAAATACTCTCCTCACTCTCTTTCCCTTAAGTGTAGCGTATAGACTCCCTTAAGTGGTGGAAAGGCCTGATAGCCTCAGGAAACTGGTTCTCTGCTGCTCACATCCACGTGAATACTCTCTACTGTACACACACACACACACACACACACACACGGATACACGCTCACACACAAATTTAGGCCCTTCTGCATAACACCTCCCTTGTGTGTTTCCGATCCCATTTCATCAGCAGTCAACCAGCTCAGCTAATGCCTCCCTGGGCTCTGTGTTTTAATGCTCATACAATGTCTTTCAAGCTACATTAGGAGAGTGAGATTCTTTGTATGAAAAGAGGCTGTAATGTGTCATATTACCTGAACATTATGGGTGTCAGGAAAGACGCTACTCTGCCTTTGTCCTCTTTAGTTTACATGACTTTAACTCATCAGCTTCCTCCTCACCTTTCTTTTTCTTTTCTCTCCCCTTCTTTCTTGCCTGGTACTCTTTGCCATAGCTCTAACTAAACAACACACCTTAATTTATATATTTAAGCCGAAAAAGTTGCCTTGTTTATCAGTTTGATTGATTAACAGCAATTTTTGGGATGAGCAACAATCTAATTAATAACTGTAAGCAACAAGGTGACACCTGGAGACCCGCTTCTGTAATGAGATTAATGCAACAGTGTTGATGCAGTTCAATGAGCTTCATCCACCTCACTGTGTTGTGAGTTTGTGTTTAGAGACAGAGAGTTTAATCCACTGTTTTTGCTCTGTTTGTCCTCAGATATTGATGAATGTGCGACCCAGATGCATTACTGCCAGTCCAACACAGTGTGTGTCAACCTGCCCGGCAGCCATCGCTGTGACTGTCTGCCTGGCTTCATCAGAGTGGACGAATACTCCTGCACCGGTACGTCTGCCTCCATGCAAACGCATTACTGTTATTACATATAGTGAGTCTAGTATCATCATCACTTATTTAGTGTGATATATGAGATGGTTCTGTAGCTTGTTGGGCTCGTGGTAAGAGAGTTGGAAGGTTTCTTTTGATCTGTAGGGGGAATGTTCCCATGTTGATCTGGGAGCCATATTAGTGAGACACCAGGGATGGTTCAGACTGAAATATCAGCACACTTATTGGATGGGTTGGCATTTCAATTTCAATTTCAAGATATTTATTATCACCAGAATTCCCTAACTTTTCATTTAGTGCCACCAGCAGACAGATGTTTTTGATGGGATGAAATGAAAAACAACCATTAGATGAATTTCAGTGAAATTTGTTGCAGACACTCATGGTCCCCAGAGGATCAGTTTGGTGGTCCCCTGACTTTTTATTTACCGATATATCAAATATAAATTTCTGTCCATTCAGGGCTTTGATTTATTATCAAATACCCACAAAACTAAATGTCTAGACTTCACTGTACTTGATCCACTGTGTAGGATTTAGTGGCATCTAGTGGTGTAGTTGCAGATTGCAACTCTCTCACTTCACCCTCCCCTTGAAAGTGTGAGGGAGAGACTACGGT